GAGAGAGAGAGAGAGAGAGAGAGAGAGAGAGAGAGAGAGAGAGAGAGTGTGTGTCGACGCAGACCGCACAGTTCGCGTGTTTTATCTCATGTTTTTGATTACGTCTGGCTACGTACACGAGTCGTGACTCCGCGTACAAATCAATCGATTAGTTCCTTCGCGCACTGGCCGAACGTGTACCTCTTCAATTTCCCAGTTCTTACCCCTTTTATATCCTGTCACGCCTGTCGCCCTGCCCGTCCACGTGCGAATTATACAGCGACTATAACGCCGGGCAACTAAAACGATGGAAACGACAATTGAATCCTCGTCACCGACGACGATCACGCTTGACTTTCGATTCACGTACGAGAGGCAGAGAACGAAGCTCGAGTAGCTCATCGTTAAAATTTAAGACCGATGTTTCCTTTACAAATTAACTGCAAAGAGATATTTCATTATCTATTAATGAAACTTTTGCTATAACATTTTAATTCACGATTTATATGTCATAATTTTAATAAGGAATAATAAAGCGTTGTTTACTACAAGCTCTTCGTTATATTCTGTGGTCTGTAATACATAATTGTATAGTCAAATTAATAGTTACAAAAGTCTAAATTGTAGTAAATGGCAAAATAAGGTATATCAGTTGCAATTTATTTATATCTACGAATATATGGAATATATATACTGTTACGTTAATTTAATAATCCGTCTCTCAAAAAGACTTTCTGATGTTTGTCAACGAATTTTTACTTTTACGCCGGCTGATCCCCGCGTTGAAATGCACGCTGTTCGTACATTTGTATCATTACTTAACGCGTTTATTTCCGTGCTCCTGCAAGAGAGCGCAGAGTCGTCCTTCTCTTTTACGATCTAATTCGTGATCTGGACAGTTCCCAACGATGAGTTCTCGTGACTGCGCGATGCCCAGTATACCCGGTATAAGAGGAATGACTAAATGGTCTGAGTAACCGGTCAGGCATCCCAAAACTCGCGATTTATTTTCGTATCTCTAGAAAAGAACTGACGCACCGGGGGTGGAGAGAAAGTACTGTTCTTGTATGAATTCAAAGAAATACTCCGGCAAACTAACGCGTATTCTTTACGAAAAAACCCACCGGACAAATTTTAATTTTTAGCAGTTACCACATTCTCTTTCCGTACATTATATAATGTTGGAATTAATGTAATTAACGTGTCCTTCAGATTTAGAGAATCATCAAGTATCTCTTTACTTTAATTAGTATAAACTTTTTTATATGAATTCGCACCCCACACATGGTTCTTAGAGAAAATAAAAATTTTGCCATTTGATCACATATTAAAAAAAGAATCTTTTGAATTGAAAGATAAGAGAATCGGACTTATACGCTGAACGGTATATGAAGGGCGAGAAATTTAACCGAGCGATCGACTTGGGCAATTTCCATCGGTCCTTTGGCTGGCTATGTCGCGCTCATGTTACGACGTATATCTCCGGGATTCGAGGCCGATACGACGCGTTAAGGGTGGTGGCAACGGCAGCCGGTAGGTTACCGCAGAACAGGGCAAAAGGGGGCCCTGCGGGCGAAGAGCGAAAGGGCTTCGTCGCTATGGAAACCCTGGCTCTTCGACTACTGTGGGGTGCCTCAAGTTTTTTATGGCCCGAACGATCGTAGGGTCGAGACTCTAAAAATCGTTACACAGACCTAGATACTCGCCACCTCGCCCCTCCCGAGACGGCGGCGTCCCTGTATAACACTCGCCACCCTTCCGGTCACGGACCTTACGCAACAGCGTTTCCGCACTGCGTTGTTTCGCTAATTACTATCGAACAATTTTTTACGGGCCGCATATATTAGTTTTAAATATTCGGCACTGAGGACGTTTATATCTCGTTTATATTCGCTCTGTTACAACTGATTTAACTGGAGAGGTACATCTAAGAATTATTCATTTCTAGTGAGAATTACATGCGATTATTTTTTGCAACAGTAAGTAACTTCTTATCTTACTACACTTCAACACTTCCATAAAATATGTACATATTGCATATTTTATTTAGTTCTGTGAATATATCGAGCCTTGATTATTCTTGCTACAGAGAGAGACTTAAGAATATCTTATAATATTTTCTAATTATATACGCACTCGAACAATAAATTTACAATAAGTGTGACGAAGTAGACTATAAATATTTCGTAACTTATAAATCATTTTCAGAAATATTGGAATATTATTGCAAACTATTTTTAATAATCGAATATGTGACGTAAAAAACTTCTAGCTTTTTAAAATTAATTTTTTAGTTTTTTCGAAAAATCTTTGATTGAATTATTGTAAAATTTACAATAATTTTCATAAAGTTTTTAGGTATATATTCTTCCATAATTATATCCTCCATTAAAATGGCGAGAACAGCAACAAAATTCGAATCATAAATTATCCTTATATAATACATAAAACTCGAAAAGTAACTTATTTTCTATAATTAAATTCTGAAATCAATTTCTTGTTTTTTAACCAAATGTTGATTAGTAAATTTCTTCTCGAGTCATCCTCTTTTACACGCTCTACTCTTCGTGCACGTAGAGGACGTTCGCAAACCGACAGAGCTCGCGATACGTCGGTCGTATTTGCGCGCGGCGATGGGCAGAAAGGGCAGGAGGAAACGATGTAAAGCCCCTGGTGCTCTTGGCACCCTCCATGACGGCTCCTAGCGAAGGGAGTGGCGCAACGAAGGGGTGATAGCGAAATACGAGCGAACGAGCGAGCGAGCGAACTCACTTCGAACTATAAAGTATTGACTCGCCCCGTTGTATGGAGAGCACTGTAAGCACCGTGTCTATAATGTTGGCAGACGGCTCTCGGGACTTCGTTTCCATCCGGAAGGAATAACGCGACTTCCGGGAGCGAGGAAGTAAATTTCAACCGTGCAACCATCCGCGGAGCTTCACGCGAGAAAATTGAATCCGTAAAATACCGCTTACGAAAGATCACGCGCCGATTTTAACTCTTTTAACAACCTCAGTTCCAAATTCTCAGTTTCCTTATTCCCAAATTTAAAAAAAATTGCTTATTTACTACAACTTGTAACAATTTTGTATTTTTGTTATTTTTAATTAATAACTACTTTATTTTTTTTTATCTAACGTGGTCTCCTACTAATTGTTTAATGCAAAAATCGCGATATGAGAATAGAAGATTTTGTACGAATAAATATACTTAAGAATAGACACGGAAGGAGTCAATTATGATTGTTCTGATTTTTCCCTTGCGAAGGGGATTCGATTGTTACACCTTCCGCAACAATGCGAACACCGGAAAATTAAGTATTCGGATATTGACAGCTTCTCTGTGTGCGCGGCAATTACACGCGGCGGTAGTTTTGAGAGAACACAGAGACGCGAACGACCGACAGACTAAACAAAAATAACCGATCGCGGCGTGTTCGTTGCATATATGCACGTGTAAAGGACGTCTGGGTGTGCGTGCAATATCAGGCGATGAAGTAGCGGAAGTATATGGCGCGTTGTAAACAACTGTGTGTGTTGGAGAGACCTAACCGGGTT